CCATAGAGGTGGCACACGGCACTGGTCTAGGAGACGCTGGCTATTCCTGGGATCAGCACTCTGGCTCTAGAAGTTCACCTCTTTCCTTAGAGAAGGTGTTCATTTTATCAGTGACCAACCCTGGCGGGCTCATGGGATGTTTCTGAGTCCAGCATAGTTCTCCTATGACTGCTCCTTTAAGCAATAAAAGTAAGGTGGAGGCACCAGGGTCAGCATCTACAGAGAATACGATGTGTATGGTGCCCGCTGTGGTACAACACAGTGACCCTGACTGAGTGCATCAGAAGGGGTAGGGCAATCAGAGGAGGCCCCTGAAGAGATAGGAGAATGGGGAGACCGAGGGCCGGAAGGCAACCAGGCTATACTAAGCTAGTTTTATGTGAAGTTCCATGGCAGCTGCTCCTTTAAGAGAGATACGAGTAACCTGGGTTCTAATCCATCGGTGTTCAATGGAAACTTCACCCATATTAGAATCCTGTAATGTGTGACTCTGGCCACCATGCACACTCGAGGCTAGACAACATCCGCCATTAGAGCCATGTAATAGTTCCCTCCACCAAATAGTTCCCTCTGCCATTTATGTTAAAAGGACACAAATTTGAAATTTGAATCCTTTGCCCAACAGATATATTCTTTTTCTTTTTAAAAATAAATATATATAAAAATATTGTTACTGATTTCAGAGAGGAAGGGAGAGGGAGAGAGAGATAGAAACATAATGATGAGAAAGAATCAGTGATTGGCTGCCTACTGCACGCCCCCTACTGGGGATCAATCTGCAACCTGGACATGTGCCCTGAGAGGAACTGAACGTGAGACCCTTCAGCCCACAGGCCAACGCTCTATGCACTGAGCCAAAATCTGGCTAGGGCACTAACAGACATATTCTTCATAAGTTCTGGATAGATCAAAATTTTTATAAGTCAAATCATATTTTATATTCCTTAGGAGAATCCTCTATAAAGAATTATCCCTGAATTTATCTGCTCTGTAAATCTTAATTTTTATTTGTTTCATTTTCTTAAAGGGACATAGCTGTAACCAGGATTAGTCATGGAAATAGAAACATCAACGTGGAAAGTTACCCTACTTAGCAAATTCTTAGAAAGATATCCAGGATTCAACTAAGTCGAGGGAAAACTTTTCTAACTGAAACAGGAACTGTTGTCTCTACTGAAATAATACTCTTGGAAGAGATAAGACATTAGACCAGGGGTGGGCAAACTTTTTGACTCGAGGGCCACAATGGGTTCTTAAACTGGACTGGAGGGCCGGAACAAAAGCATGGATCGAGTGTTTGTGTGAACTAATATAAATTCAAAGTAAACATCATTACATAAAAGGGTACGGTCTTTTTTTTTTCAATAGTTTTATTCATTTCAAATGGGCCAGATCCAGCCCGCGGGCCGTAGTTTGCCCACGGCTGCATTAGACCATACTTCTTACTGATACCATAATGTACATAAATTAGGAGACCTTTGCTTGAAACAGACTTGGATTTTCAGGCAGGAGCGGACAGAAAAGATATGAGGTTTTATGTTTTTTGAGGTACAGGGAGATGACAAGAAACAAAAAGAAGGGATAAATGACAGAAATGAGAAAATTAGATCAGTAACGGCAAAATTAGTCACCCCACCAATTTGACCTGGCGTTCAGTCCTGACTTGAGTCTTCCATTCCATTTTGTGAAATGGCAGTGGAAGTGAAGGAAAGGGGAGAATTAGTCCAGGACTGGTTACTGTCAAGACCAAACTAAACAAAACCACTATAAAGCATGTGAGGACTGGAGAAGAACTATTAACAATTTAACAGCAGCTCGGGAGATCAGACAAGATGATCTCTGAATTCCTTGATGTTTTCACGTAGTAAAATTCTTAAACAAGTTTATTACATCTCTTGTTTCTTAAACAAGGTATAAACAAGGGTGGGCTGGGAGCCAAGAAAAGGCACCATGAGCAAAATGGAGGGAAGTGTTTTCTTCTATCATTCCCAAGGGTAGCGACCTGGTTTTAATGGCATGGCCTTGCATTTCCATAGTGTATAGAACAGCTTAAAGAATATTCACTTTGCACTCAGGGTCCGTTTCTCACGAAGGCAAGTTGGGTCCACAGTAGTCCTCCAGACTTGTTCTCCTTCGCACGCCTACATTTCTGAGTCATCAGCACACTAATGCATTCTGAGTCCCGCTGTGATGTAATTAAGGGTAATGTTTGCAGCAAGGAGTGCAGAGAGTTGTAAGTGCTTCCCATGGGTAATTAAATGCTGAGGGGAAGTTGAATAACTATAGAATTCATTTGGTGCAAGTTTATTTCAATTCCACAATCATTTTTTTCCAATTATAGGATAGGGTTTCTAAAGATACAAACACGGCATCCATAAGCAAACATTTTCATGCCTTCATTTCCCTAAACAGAATGGAGAACTGAAACTACTTCATCTTAGGAATGCTTATTTATCTAGGAGGAGGACTTGGGTTGAGTTTAATGGAAGGAATGAAGTTAGAAAACGAAGAGCTGCTTCTGAAAGGATTAAATGGGGAAAGACGTGTGTACCACACCAACATTAAAAGGAAGAGGTCCATTTCTAATTGTGTGGATGGTTGCTTGATTTTTTCACTGTAGTTTTTGACTTCAGTGAACGGCTCATTTACCCTGTCTGGGTCTCACTTTTGTACATCTGGAAATGTGGGGTGGGTGTGTTTGGGTTAGGTGAGTTCTGAAGTTCTTGGCATTCAGTCCCACATACACATATCATATTGGACAGTATAGGTGAGGGTCTGGGGGAATCAAACTTCTCTTACTCTATGGAAAGGATTGCAAACTGGTACAATTTGGGGGGGGGGAAGTGGCAGTATAGATAAAACTTAAAATGTGTATCACTTGTGACCCAGTGATTTCACTTTTAGGCATATTCCTTAGGAAAACATTCACACAATGTGCACAGAAAGACCCAGACAAATGTTCTCATTGCACAGTATAAGAACCCCAAATTGAAAAAAACCCATAAATGTCTATTAATTTTAAAAAAAAAAGAAATGGAAAAATAATCCCTCTTTATACAAAGGAATATTATACAGCAGTTAAAAATGATGACAAAGTGCTATGTAAATCAGTATTAATATTTCTAAAATACAAGCTGTCAAGTAATTCTCATTCATTAAATTTGTGAAAATCTAATTAATTAAAATATTCTTTAAGGCCCTAACCAGTTTGGCTCAGTGGATAGAGCATCGGCCTACGGACTGAAAGGTCCCAGGTTTGATTCCGGTCAAGGGCATGTACCTTGGTTGCGGGCACATCCCCAGTAGGGGGTGTGCAGGAGGCAGCTGATCAATGTTTCTCTCTCATCAATGTTTATAACTCTCTATCCATCTCCCTCCCTCTCTGTAAAAAAAAAAGCAATAAAATATATTTAAAAAAAATCCTTTGAGTGTAACACACTGAATCAATAAAATTCACGAGTCCACAGTAATAATTAAACAAAAAAGAAAAAAATCATACTGTTGGATGAAAAGTACAGTATAATACATAGAGTGTGCAGCCACTTACGGACATTTAAAATTTATGTAAAGCCCTAACCGGTTTGCTCAGTGGATAGAGCGTTGGCCTGCGGACTGAAGGGTCCCAGGTTTGATTCCAGTCAGGGCATGTACCTTGGTTGCGGGCACATTCCCAGTAGGGAGTGTACAGGAGGCAGCTGATGAGTGTTTCTCTCTCACCGATGTTTCTAACTCTCTATTCCTCTCCCTTCCTCTCTGTAAAAAAATTAATAAAATATAGTTTTAAAAAATAAATAAATAAAATAAAATGAATGTAAAAATACTACTACTTGTTGTTCACAGATACATACATATACATGTATGTACACATGCACAAACATACACGTATGTGAAACAGGAGAGAATGGAAGAAAAGACACACATAAGTTCATCATTGATGCTTGGGCAGCAAGGTAGAAGTCTGTGACTAGAGGAGACTTCAACTTAATCAGTATGATTTCTCTCACTCACACACACACACACACACACACACACACACACACACACTCACAATGTCATTTCCAGATGGTGGAGAAAAGGTGCTTGTTACAGCATTCTTCTCCGCATTAAAAACATCTTCTCAAAATAAAAACTAAAAATGTGAGCAGCAATGGCTTTGGCAGATGTGTGTTGACAAGTTTCCGCCCAGTCCCAAGTCAAGCCTCCAAGAAACCGAGGCAGCCTAACCTTTAGGCGCTTACTGTCTAGCTCAGCTGTGGGCAAACTACGGCCCATTTGAAATGAATAAAACTAAAAAAAAAAAAGACCGTACCCTTTTATGTAATGATGTTTACTTTGAATTTATATTAGTTCACACAAACACTCCATCCATGCTTTTGTTCCGGCCCTCCGGTCCAGTTTAAGAACCCATTGTGGCCCTCGAGACAAAAAGTTTGTCTACCCCTGGTCTAGCTCCATGCTGTTCAATATGGTGGCCACCAACCACTTACAGCTACAAATTTAAATTCAAATTAATTAAAGTTAAATAAAATGAAAATTTCAGTTCGTCCACTGCCCTAGCCACATCTCAAATGCTGAACAAGTCACATGTGGTTAGTAGCAATTGTATTGGGCAGCACACATTTAGAACATTTCTGTCATTGCTGTAAATTCCATGGGACAGAGCTGGTTTCAAGGTAAAACCTGTCTAGTAAACACTGAGAACATTTTTTGGTCACATTGCTCTTTCCCGACTACATCCTTCTGCACATAGGAAAACCAAGGTAATGATGGTGAGGAATTTTTCATTTCTGGAAAGAATATGCCCACTACAATTATGACTGAAAAAAATTAGATAATAATTTTTAGAACATGATCTAGCAATTATCTATAGTTTTGTAAACATATTTCATTTTTTCCAAAACTTAGTAACTAGGAAGGTAGATCGAAGGACGACGAAGGCATTGTTCAAACAAAACTGTAAATGTGGGCTCAATGGTTTACCAAGAGCCTTTGTTTCTCACCTGTACACAGTATGAGGGACATACACTTCCCGGACTGGAAATTCCAAAATCTCTTTGTGTGGACGTGTCCGGTTTTCAGAAAAGGGTTTCACTGGCAGTAGTTCAGGAGTCAGACAACAATTGATTATCTCTGGAGCCAGAGAAATCTCCAGTCTGAGCAAGCCTAAAGAAAGAAAACGAGTGTTTTAAGAAAGATACTGTCATACTAAGAGGAATCGAGAAAAATTGTTGTAGCATATTTCTTTTATGAAAATAAGGAGAAGTTGTGGGAGTGTGAGAGTTCTGAAATTCCCAGCTAATTTCCTGTAGCTGGAGAAAAAGCATGTCATGACAACTCTTGAGATTCTATTTCTAGAAATTAAAAAGCAAGAAATTGTAGAGTGAGTAGAAATAGATCGGAGGATTTTTAAAGTTCCTTCCAGAACTACCACCCTATAATAGTATATATTTAAGTAAACACTGGTGGTTCTCGAACTGGGTTCTCTGGTACTTTAGGGTGCTGCAGAAGTGCCTCAGAAGCGATTAAGCTGAGGATAAGGAAGATGTTCTCACCTTCTATCAAAGCATCTTACTTTCATTTTCCTTTGTATACTAAAAGTTCCATATCCTATTGTATATGATGAAAAAGACTCTTCTATTCCAACAATGACCTGATTGTCTAAGAAACCAGATCTAAAAGCATGTTTATTTAAAGAATCAATTATTTAATAGAATAGAAAATACTAATAGAGTTTCAAAAAAAAAGTAGACCAATTCAGACTCAACTCCTGGTGTAAAATCCCACGTCTCATTTGGTACACATAATTTTATAAACTGCAGCAGTAGACAAGTAATGTGTCTAATCACAAATGGCTTTGGCACAGCTTAAGAGGATAAAGACAAGCCATCCACACCTGGAATGGACTTGACTCTTCTCTGTAAGGAAGAAGATCTTTTGTAGTCTGCTAAAAACTTGAATAAGTCTTCATCACTGAGTCGATCTCCCTCCTGCCAAGAGAGAAGTGAGGGTTAGTACAGATGCACCATTGACTCCTGGGGTAGGGACCGATGATTTATGGGAAGATTTTTATCTTTAAATTTTATTTAATTCTTAGAAATTAAGATTATAGGCAATGGTGAAGTCATTTAGTTCAGCCCCTTATCAATACTAGTATTTCTTCTCTACTATTCTTGGACTTATTGTCACTCAGCCTCTCATTAACCTTCTGGGGATGGGGCTTCTATGCATTCTACGGAAGTCTATTTGACCATTAGAAATCTAGGCCAACAGCATCTTCACCCTATAACTTAAGGCCACTGATGCTTGTTTTACTCCTGGAATAATACAGAATAAGTGTACTTCCTTCTTCAAAGATTTGAAGATGGTGACAGCGTCTTTCCATTTTTTCCCTGTCCTCACTTTTTTTCATATTTGTCTTGACTAAGCAGGATAAGCATAAATACCTTTCTCTATGTGCCTACGTGGGACACGTACTTTCCCAAGGGAGTCACAGGCAAGGGCTCTAATCCTTGCAAGGTAAGGTAGCCTGGTAAGGTAGGTAGGTAGGTGTAACTTATTTCCAAGTACAGTGAGAAAACTCAGACTTAGTTAAGTACTTTGCCCCCACCCCAAGTTAATACAATTGGAAGTATATCTGGAATAGAAACCCCTTCAGCCCCATGCTATTATGGGTACAGTGCACAGACCCTTCAATATCCCTTCTGCATTTCAGATTATTAACATAACACCTTGAAATGCCCCATGAAGATTGAGCTATGGAAATTTTCTAAAACCAAGCCTAAGGTTTTCTTTGTGTGGTAAAAATACACATAATATAACATTTGCCATCTTAGCCATTCTGAGTGTTCAGTTCCCTAGTGTTAAGTACATTTACATTGTTGTGCAACTGATCTCCAGGGCTCTTTCATACTGCAAAACTGAAACCCTGTGCCCTTTAAACAACAACTCTCTTCACCCCTCCCTCCAGCCCCTGGCAACCATCATTCTACTCTAGGAAATTCTTTGTTTTTTAAAGAAATGTTTACTGAGCCAACGCAGAGCGCCATGTGCAATGGTCACCTTCTCTGAGCAAGTAGGGCAGCCCTGCAGTGTGCACATGGAACCGTGGTGAGAAGGACAACAGCCCGGTCAGGGATCCCCGAGACCAAGCGGGGACAATGCTTCAGGCAGACAGCTCGTATAGCCTACAAACGAACTGACCATGAGTGTTCCAGCAGGACAGTGTGTATGAAGGCAGTTAGCCCTCAGCGGGAAGAGCTAACACTCCATGAGCACCTGCTCTATCCCAGGCACTCTGAGCAGAGTTTTACCTGCCTCATGTCATCTAATCTCCCCAAAAGCCACATGAAGCAAGCACCATCATCCTTGTTCTGTGGATAATGAGATTTAGGCTCGGTGAGGTTAACTACCTTGTTCTCTTATTCATTACATAGACTACCACTTTGGGCTCCCAAACCCATAACGTTATGAGACAAACCCCACCACACTAACATGGAGAGGTACCTGCTTGAAGAAGCTGTTAATGGTCATGCTGGTGGTCTTGAAGTTGGATCCGACCCCATTTTCCTCCAAGGAGAGGGCTCTTTCCGAAAGCCTTCTAGATTGGGATAAGGTTCTCCGCTCACCCACAGAGCCTCTTCCTTTATGGAAAACAATTGTCATTCTAAAGCTTGCCTTTCTGTTTGAAGACAGTAGTTATTAACTTTACCATATATAAGCTATGTGGAAAGTCACTGAACAAGAACACTGAGTGTGGCCATTCTAGTCTTGAAAAAAATGTCCCTCCACTGACCCCTACCTTTCCTAACCCCTCTCTTGGAGCCCCTAATCCCCCTCTGCCCAGAGCTGAGAGGCCGTGAGCAGCTGCCCGCCCACATGGAGGGTAGGCCAGATGCCACCCTGCAGAGTCCAGAACTGCAGCCAGGACGGGGTCTGCAGATAAGCTTTATTTAGTCAACAGTGTTTGTTTTTGTTTTATTTTTACATTTTCATTCCATTGGGAAAGGCATGCACTCAAATGCCCTTGAAGGCATTTGGGAATGTGACCCAAATATGCTAGGGTCAGCCTGAGTATATTCTGAATCCCATTTTTCTTCTGCTCTCTGCTGACCTGCCTAATGGGGATTAGAACCCAGCCACACCCTGCCCTGGGCTGGGACCCTAATACTCTGCTTTGTTGTTTCTTATCCCCGTTTGATATTTATGTGAGAATTTTATTGCTTTTCTGCTGCAAAACTCAGGGGTTCTGTCGTGAATAGTCAAATTGCTTAGAACTCTAAAATGGCCAACCCTGTCTTTGAAGATTCCCTTATCCTTAACTCTTGCCGTGATGCTGAATTGGAACTTTCTGCTACCACTGCCCATCTACACTTGCCACATTGCCTCTTCTGGCTGCTTCTCAAGAATCAGCCTCTGTGGTCAGGTTAATTTATCCTTGACCTAGAGACAATGAAAGCCTCGGCAAGCCCTATGCCCGAATTTATGGGTTCACCTCATTTAGGGTGTCCTCTAGGTTCTATGCATAACTCTTTCAAATAAGGCTGCCTAGGTCTACATAGAGATTGGCATTAAAAAAAAAAAAAGCATTGTGGCCTCCCCAGTGTTGCTAAGTGGTTAGAGGGTCAGCCTGAATACCAAAGGGTCTCAGATTCGATTCCCAGTCAAAGGCATGTACCTGGGTTGCAGGTTTGATCCCTGGCTTAGCATGTGGGAGGCAACCAATAAATGTGTCTCTCTCACATCGATGTTTCTCCCTCCCTCCCTCCCTCTCTCTCTAATAATCAATGAAAAAAAATATCCTCAGGTGAGGATTAAAAAAAAACAAAAACCAAAACATTGTGGTGTGAAGATCAAGATGCATTAAAGTGAGGTTTGTTATTGATAAATCAGAAATAGTCCAGGAATTCTGACCAGAAATTATGCAACCATAACTCCAGAATAGCAGCAGTAATAACAAAGTACCCTTTCCTCCACTCCTCTGCTAAAGGCAACATTTCAGAAGTGGCAGAGCTAAGGAATGCAAGAGAGAAGTCACGAGAAATGTGACTCCAGACTTAAATATTTGCTGGATCCAAAGACATTTAGGAAAACAGAAACTCTGCCACAAGTAGGAGTGGGTCTACTTGAAAATTCTATAGCCTCTTGAACAGTTTCATATCCAACCCGTTTTAAAAATTAATGATTCAGACCGAGGGTGAGGCGATGAAAAAGAAACATGCTAAATAAACTGAACAGTAACTAGATATTCTATTGGCATCCACTTTTTCATTGCTGTTGGCAAAAGAAACTTTCATTGCTGTTGGCTGGAAATTTTGCTAAGAAACCTGAGTTCGGCTTTTCAAAACCTCCATGACTTTACCCCTTATGTTTTGGAACCAATCATGGTGCCTTTATTTTAACACGCTATAGATAGTTATTATATTTTCTTGTTATTTTCAATAATTTTAAGAGGAAGTAGCTTCTTAAAATTAAGTTTTTAATGTGTCAAACTGTCCAGAGAACTCTAACCAAAAATCTTACTATAAGAGTATATTTAAATCCCACAAACATTCATGATAATTTTGGGGAATCGTTCTCTATTACAATCATGCATTTGTAATCAAGCCGTAAGAGTCTTTCAACCTATTAATCTACTTCTTTTTCCCCATTTCTCACACCTTACTGTACCCCCAAGGCCCCACGAATAAGCAGTTGACCTCAGAGTTGGTGCATTGGGGAGCCCACCTCTTCCCCCGGCAGCTGAAAATCTTACCAACCACGGACTCTGCATCGGTTACCTCCCTCTCCAGGGTGGAGACATTGAAGAAGCTTGCTAAGCTTATAGGAGCCCAGGCAAAGGGCATCCGGTATTTCCCCAAACGCTGGCAGAAAGATTCCGCTTGAAGTTTCAGTTTTTCAATCTTGTCTTTACTCTAGAGAAAAATGGAAAGAGACAACTAGGGACAAACAATAGGGCACCAGCACCCAGTCAGCTGCCCTGCCATGGATAGGACAGGCATCTCCAAAATCCCTACACTACTGATTAAAACGAGTGAGTAGGCAGCAAAGGGACATACTCAACGAAGGCCAGAAGTCTGGGGAAATACAGATTAGAAAAGGAGAAGTTTACAAAAAGGCTACATTCAACTATTAAATACACCAGCTTAAAAAAAAAAAAAAAAGGTCCAAGGCTAACTATACAAGCCAATCCACAAGTGTCAGTTTTAGGGACCAGTAACTTGACTTGAATTCGCATGAGAGCATCTTGGAATAAAAAGTTTTATATATCACCTACCAAGCTCTCAAGAGAGCCTGTTTCTTCAAAAGTTGCCTTAGAAAACTCCAGAAAGACCTATAAAGATTCTTAATAATTTCCTTATTAGGTTGACAATACTTCCAAGGAGTTCTTTCTAAATTCAGAATAAAAGGTAGATTTTTTAAAAAAATGTCTTGAAGTGGGAAGATTTTTTAAAAAAGAGAAAAAAAGAGAGAGACATGGACATGGACAACAGTGTGATGATTGCAGGGTGTAGGGGTAGGCAGAGGTGGAAGAGGGCATATAGGGGATAAACAGCGATGGATCCAATAAAATAAAATAAATGTCTTGAGTTCAATACATCTTATTTGAAATTTTTAAGTGATGCTGATTAGGCAAGTGTTAGTACAGAAAGGCCACGCTTTAAAAATCTTGCTGGGCGCTGAGGAAAGATGTCCTCTCCATGGGCTCAGTACCGGGGTTGTGCTAGTGAATTTATGATGTGCAGCAACCGCAGCCAATTTCCAAACATCCACGCCTGAAAAGCTGGCGACCATGCTGTGGAGATAAGCCTGGGCGCTCTGGTACTGCTTGGTTCCATGGGGTCTGTGGCCCTCCCCCCACAGCTGGGTCAGAGCCTCAGAACCAAGGCAACAGGCGTCCGGCTTTGCCCTAGTTTCATTTTAGAATTAGACATTCATGTGCATATCATCATTTGTTGAGTTTAATAGCTTATTTCTTTCAAAAGTTATCATCAATGACCAATTTCTCTTCCTTCTTTGGTTTATATATAATTTATTAGGATCTCATTTGAAAATATATGAAGGACTAAACCCTATTAACTATATTGTGGAACACCTCTGTGGAAATATTTCCTTATTCTAAGATGTTACCATTTAGCAGTATTCAAAATATCATACCTTTCCACCATCACTTTCTTTGATAACCATGTAGGGTTCCGCACAGTCTCCAATCTCTCCCTGCTGAAGGACTTTTTCAATCTACCAACAAAAATAACAGGAAAACAATGCACATAAATCACATCCACATAACGGGATCTATGCAACCATCAAAATTAGATTTTGTGACAATATTTAATGATGTGGGAATATGTCTGGGATTATGTTTTTTTGATTTAAAAATGAGTGTAAAAAGTACTGTATAGTTTTTGTAAAAACATCATAAAGGCATATTTAAAAAATGATAGCAGATACACAGCAAATGTTAATAGTTATCTCTGTATGATGGGATTATGTGCTGATTTTATTCCTATTGTTTATGTGTATTTGCTACTTTTAAACAATAAACATGTATTATGCCTACAATAAAAAAATGCAATAAAAGTTATCTTATAAAACAAAACCCATGAGACATATGTAGGAAGTGAAAAGCTCATTTTCTTTATTATTGCTTACAATGTAAAAAAGAGATATGACCTCTGTAAAAGTCAGGTTGGGGACTCACACCTTCCACACAATGAATAAATGAACAGAATAAATTATCTGTAATTGTCTCCCTTGTATTTCCTATTAGGGCTGCTTCTCTGGCTGTAATGGACTTAGACAGGAACCAAAAGCAGTGAGATAGTGAAGCTTTCCACTTTGCTAACTGGCTGGTAATATGGGAATGCCACTGCTAGTAATATGGGAATGCTGCTACTATCCAATATCTCCTTCGATTTTGCTTCAGGTAAAGGATCTGGCTGACCATAAATTTGAGCAGCATATTTAAGGAGACGGAAAAGGAGAAAACTGTAACTCCCAAACCCTCTGTTCAAAGAAAATTTAATTTAACTCAGATGTTGAGGAGAAAAGCAAGTGATTTAGTCTGTATCATTAGGCGAGAGGATTCTTGAAGATATGCGGGTTAACATATTCCAATAGGCACACGTTCTTAATAGGTATTATCAGTGAGGTGCAGGAATACCCTCATTTAAACCAGAAAGACCCTAGTGATGGAGGGTGTTTGACCGAGTTTAAGGGAAGTGACATGGGACTGCTCAATGGACATCCATCGCAGGGACACTGCAAGCAAGAAGCCTGTCTTCTCACAAAAGAAGTCTCAAATCCCTCCCCATTGCCAGAGGATGAAGACAGGCTGATCCCCACGACACCCCAGGTTGAGAACAGACACATAACACTCGAGCTGGAGGCTGGCGTTCCTGTTAGTCAGCCATCATTTGCTTATTCATTAACTCTAAAAGCATTTGTTGGGTACCTTCCCTGTGGTGGCTGCTGGGGAGGTAAGGGGTGAATACAATACATCTGGTCGCCAGGCTCCTGAAGCTCATGGGAGCTTGTAGAGAAAACTGGAAGGAAGCTAGTTTTTCCATGAAGTCAATGGATAAAAATAGACTTTGAACAGAAATAAAGAACTCTTTCATGAGGACTCTGAGGTGAGGAATGGGATCCATGGGTTCATGCATTAGTACCGCGTGGAACCCATGGGAGAGGGAGCTCCAGAATCTGGACATGGGAACATTCAGATTCAACCAGACCAGCAGATACTACTTCCTTCACTGAGCTGGACAAGGGCAACTCCAGCTACTTGGTGAGAAGGAGCTGCAGGGCTGATATGCAAACCCACTATATATGGTCCTTTGTGATTTATGGGTGAAAGACATGAGTGAATCCTCATAACTATGGTAGGTAGGGGAAAGGCACATACCAGCATCACCTGGAACATTTTTGAAGGTAAAAGGCTATCTTCTGCTCTACTCAGGAGGGGCTGGTGCAATGCCTTCCATGTGTATTTTTAAATTTTTATTCACTCATCCTTACTCTCCAACCTCCAGTTGAGAAACAAAACCTTTAAGCCTGAAATAACCCCTTACAATAATATCCTATACAATGCTAAACTAGGTAACTCTAAATACAGCTCATATCCTGCTAAAATACAGTTAATATCCTGATGCTCAGCCTGACAATAAAAGTAAAAAAAAAAAAAAAAAGGTTCTCCTTATTGAATGGCAACTGGGTGGATAGATGTGATCAATGTTACAACACCATTCACTATATATGTAGAGAGGAGGAAGCTACAGGATGGCATTCAGAAAAGAAAAACAGGTCAGAAGCAAACCAGGGACTATCTGAATAGATTTAAATTCTTTAACTAAATTCAGACATTTAAGAGAAAGTTTGTTATTGCCAAATGAATGCATTAATACATTTGAAGACTTTTGGATATATTCAGTAGTAGTAGTCCATAGGTAACTGCTGATATTTAGCACATGATTATGGATTAACCAAAATAAAGTCATCCTCTGAGAAGTGAAGTTTAAAGTAAAATTTGGCTTTATAGAACTAACGTTGGTTTCCCAGGCTAGGAGAGAATTCTGAATTTAACTACAGGGCTTCTAGAGTGAGCTGTAAGCTAATTTTTCCTATGTGTCTAAGTATTACTGTAAGATAAAGGACACACACTAAAGTTTGACAACAGAAGATATGTCTTTGTAGTGACAGAATTTTAATTATAGTTTCCATGAACTTAAATAAGTTCCCCTCAAGCTATAGAAGCCTTTCAGAGTCTGGTGAAATGGGGGAAAGGAAGCTAGAATGGAAAGACATATGCCACTTGTTAAGTGTCTTTCAAGCCACCTAAATTCTTTGAAATCTTTATCCTACTCCCATGGGATCATGGGGAACTCATGAGATTATAAACATCAAACTTGGACATCTGGGTGTACATGAAATCAAATCACCTAATTCTTTTATTTTTTAATACCATTTTTCAGTAAAGAATCAATTAAATGAATTATTTCACTTAATGTAGGTAAAATACTCAATGTTTGTTGCTAATTTCCAACCACTCATTTAGGTGTGTAGAAAATGTCTCTCGTTTTCTTATATCAGCAAAGAGTACAGCCTAGAATGAAAGGTTCTTTTACATATAATTGCCCCACCAGACATAGTACTTATGCTGTGAGATGGTGATAAAAAGAGAAAATTAAACTTGCAAAATATAGCCCATACCTCAAATTGTCAGAGCCTACACTTGCGGTCATTTAACTATGGGCCTCTAGAAAAACATGAACATCATTAGGAAACTGTCTGAGATAGCAGCAGCCTCCCAGATGGAATAGCTGAGGGTGCTTTCCTTGGTTAGGAGGAAAGGTGTCTTTAATGTGCCAGACTTCATTTTGTAATCACAACAACCCATTGAAAGTGGTGTTATTAGCCCCATTTTACAGAGGAGCAAATTAAGTCTCAGAAAGGTTAGGCAATTGCCCCAAAAGTCATGTAATAACTAGGATGCAAAGCCAGGATTCAAAACGAGGACGGTATGACTCTCAAACCCATAGTTGTTCTAGTATTCAACACAGAATTTGCTTGTCGAGGAAAAGGAATCAGTTGAGAAGGAAACAAAGGGAATCTCACAGAAGACATAGAGATATGTTCTGACACCTCTCTTACCTGACACATGCACTGAGTCTAATGCAAAAATGGGAACATCAGAATGAGCAAATCAGATTGTGTTTAACTACCTTGACTACTAGGTAGATGTCTGAGGATGGATAGGTGACGGAGAACACCGCAGATCTTGCCTGACTCGATGGGGCAACAGAGGGCGTGTGGGCACGGAGAAATCCTTTGAACTGGTCAGAGTTCAGGTCACAGTGAAAATTTTCTGATATCTGCAAATGAGTAGAAACATGGAAAATAAGTTAGACTTGTTGCTCTCATGGTCTAAGCATGTTAAAAAGGAATGAAAAACCACAAAGAAATTTCTCCAGAGGAGTAAATATAATTATAGACATAGTTCATAACTAGTGGCTGTTGGGAAATCTGCTACGTACAGGGTGTCCCCCAAAAATGTATACACACTTTAACAGCTGATAGCTCAATTTTTAAAATGAAATGCATTTTATTTGTTTGTTTGTTTATGTATTTATTTTTAATCCTAACCGAAGGATATTTTTCCATTCATTTTTAGAGTGGAAGAGAGGGAAAGACAGAGAGAAATATCAATGTGAGAGAAACACATCGATTGGTTGCCTCTTGCACAAGCCCAAATCAGGGGCCAGGTTGGGGAGGAGCCTGCAACTGAGGTACGTTCCTTTGACTAGAATTGAACCTGGGACCCTGCAGGCCGATGCTCTAGCCACTGAGCCAAATCGGATAAGACAAAAATGAAGTGTATTTTAATAAACACTGCCTTCATATTATTCAAAGCTTGTGTATACATTTTGGGGGGACACCCTATATTTTGTCACAATCTCTAGGTATTTTGGAGTCATTTGAGAGGTGTTCCAGGAGACATTTAAATTTTTCTTAAACCACCAATAATTTCTGAATAGCAGTGATGTGATGTGCTCTGTACTGCCCTGAATAAGAGCAGGACACTGCCTCTACCCTCAATTAGCTTAAATTAAAAAATGAGGGATAGTTAAATATGTAACTAATATAGGAAGAGCAAAATATTAAGTGCCCACATTCATACAAAGAGCACTGTTGGAGTTACAAGGGTGAGGGATCCCAGTCACTGGGGTGAACAGGATGCTTCCATTAGATGAGCCAGATGGGCCTTGGAAGAAGATCCTGCCAGCAGAGCTGGAGGGTGACCGAGTGTCAGGGGGAGAGTACAGCACAGGATCGCTCAGAGGCCAGAAAACCTGGAGTGAATTCACTTCACAGAGAGCAGTCCAGCTTGACTGCATAGGCAGGCTAAGAGGGAAAGAATAAATGAAAGCCATATGAAGAAAGCCAGGCATGGAAGCTGAAGAGTTTTTATAAATTTTTAAAAATTGTTTATTTATTATTATTTTTTAATCCTCACCCTTCCATAAGCTCCCTGATCAGGGATCAAACCCACAACCTTTCTGTTCACAGAACAACTCTTAATCAACTGTGCCACTCCATCCAGCCTATAGAGTTTGTTTTTCAATGTCACAGGTAGTGAGGATCCATTAAAGATTTTGAGCAAGAGAATGACTCCTTGGCTCACAGTGTAGTGTTATTAGAACCACTGTGTGGCTGGGTCTCCCCTTCGGCACTAATAGAGTGATCGCTGAGAACTGGCTGCCCAGGCAAAGACTACATTTACCCTCTTCCATGGCAGTTAGTAGAGAGTTGTGTGCACAAGTGATGCGTCAAACCTTGAGGCCGCTTTCACCCATCTTTCCCCTTTTTCGGGAGGTGCAATGGCAGTGACAAAAACGATTTTGGGAGAACACATATTGAAGATGGAGGAGCCACAGACAGCTTGGGGGTCCTGAATGCCTGGGGGGCTCAGACCACTGCTGACCCAGCACCTTCTACCCAACTAGGCCTCCAGCCATCCCCTGGCCAACCTCCAGCAGGCTTTCCCTTAAATATTCTTCAAAGAATATAAATGACTAACATTCCCTGATCCCCCCTTCACAAACTTCAAAGGCAACAGAACTGGATGTATCAAAGGTCGTTTGCTTTCAAATCTGATGTGTGTTTGCTGAATAGAAGTGAGACTTAAACATGTGAGCCCAAAGACCCATCAACAATATGTGTTTCCTCAGAGATGGGCTATTATTTTCAATTCCTTACCTTTTTCCTTTCTTTAACATCGTAGAGAGCAATGCTTGCAAACAGAGGCTCAATTTCTATCTCAAACCTGTGAGAGCAAGAGAGAAAATCTGTATGGATTTAACTTAGATAATTTCAAATTTTCTGAAAGTGCCTGAAGCTGAAAATCCAGATTTTTCTGCCTAACTTTCTGACTTCTTAAGATTTTTCTCATTTCCTTTTTAAATACCACACAATTCAAACAAAGCATGTCTGCAGTCTGGATTCATCATGTGGGCATCTATTTGCTGCACCTACTATAAAGCAACTGTCTCCAAGTTCCTTCATTGTTTACTTTTATAGTAAAAAAATAAATCACATAACCTCCATATGTGTGTATTAATTTTGTACTTGCATATTAAAATATTAAATACATTATAAAACATACATAATCAAGACATTTTAAAGGCTGAACTAAATAATTCAAAATAAATCACGATATTAGAGCATTTGCTTTCCGCACTCCAGTGGATTGATTTGGGAGCCCCCTGGGGTGCTTGTGCACCTCTCTTTCCTCTTTGCAAGCTGCTACTTTAGAGAAATAGCTTGTCAATTTCTTCAAATCACAGTCCCTTTTGAAAATATTAAGTTGTAAATGCTCTACCTAGGCAAAAGTATATGAGCATATTCTATTATATCCTATTAGGAGGGTCATCCATCTCTTAAAATCTGTTCATGGACCCCTTAAGCAGCACCAAGTTTGCAACTAGGGCATCCGGATACTAGATGCAAGGCTTTGTTTCAGCCTTGAGAACTTCTCTGGGACTTCGAGTCTTTTCTTGAAAATGAAGTTGTTAGACCAGATAGTCTCAAAGTTCCCACCTGTCACAAACTCCTAACTCTAATGCATAGCCTCCCAGTTCCCCTCCGTGAACCTAGTCCAGCATGACTGCTCACCCTCTTGGGCATGTCTCCTTGATGTTGTAGCCCTCTCCCCACCCTAGCCAATTCCACCAGGGAAGGGGTCCAGAAAGGCACACCCTAGCCCTGGCAGGCAGGCCAGAGTGGGGAGCCTCCTATCTTTCAGCGGGAGGACGGAGTGGAAGTGGCTGTTCCGTTCCCCTCTGCATCATTCAGGAAGTCCACCCTATTGTCTGGGCTCTCGCCCACCCCCACAGGATGCCAGGATGCACTTCAGATGCAGTGACTATGCCATTTAGGACGGAAGGAATTCTCTCCTATGACGCTTATCACCAAGCCGGCTAGAACTTTCCAATAAATGACAGCTGTTCTCACAGGTGGGAAAACATGGCCACTAAGATAGATGTGCATTATTAAACAAACAAACAAACAAACAAAAAACCAAACTGAGTCACTTGTATTTCTCTTGATGAACACTGTGAAGTGTAGTTTCTAGTGACTTTTCCCCCCAACTGTCAAAACAGAAATTAGGTTGCATCGAGCTGTTTGTTCAGTGCACTGAAACTGGGTTTTAGTTGCATTTATCATTTTGTTTCAACAGTGGTATGCTGGCAAATGTTTAAAAAACATGTCCTAAAAAAGAAAGGTTTTAATTTTTAGCATTTCTGGTTTTGATGTAAATATTTCCACCAAGGCCAATATCAAGCCACAGATGTGACTTCACTGAGTAAAGAGTTGGTAAGAGAAGAGCATGATCCACTGTCATGAGTCAGAGCTGAGTCCAGTACACCAGTGGCTCTCACCGTTGTTTAACGTAGGCCATCTCACTCCATCTCCCTACGTGCCTAACCCTCGTGTGTGCCTTCCCCGTTGTAGAAGAAAGACTGGCAAAGGCTTGGTAGGAATAGAATTAAAATCTAACTGACTCCAGACTCTGCTCTTTCCAGAGCTGCCCACTGTTATATATGTTGGGAGATGCTCCCTAATTCAAGCTCTGATGTTAAAGACACAGTTTGCATCTAAGAGGCAATATAAACCTCAGTGTAGTTAACTCATTGCTCATACTTACTTTAGGGTCAGCAACTTGACCCATATTCTGTTGCCCAGATGTTCCTTAGGACATTCTGGCACCGGACGTATTTCCACAGCATCCTCCTGTTATTAATCACATGGTAAAGAAATCATTAGTAAATTTCCACCAGAGGAGTTCCAGCTGGAGTTAACCCAGGGAAGGGAAGGCTGCCATCCACTGCTCAATTCAACTTGCATTTGCTTTATTTCCAATAGCAGAATAACACTGACATTTACAAGAGTTTGTTATCCAACCCCTAAGCTTCAGAGTCAGCATTTACAGCAAATATCTTCTCCTTGCAGAAAGCCAAGCACTGAAGACAAAGAGACTGAGGGAGGAAGGAAGGAAATGTGAACATGGATATGACTTAGTAACATCCACCAGATGGCATTGCAAAAATCTTATGCCTATTGTTGGTTTTGCTTTGTTGGGTTTTGTTTTTTGGCTGCTCTAAGTACACATTCAGAATATTTCTCCTGCCAAGGACTTTCCTAGTAAATATGTGTGCTTCAGACTTGAGATCTGAGTCAGAAGAGCTCACTGAAGGCTGTAAACCATCAATACTAGAATACAGCATCTTTCTCAGTTCATAAACAGATGATAGAGATTTGGGGATGAATTTATAGGTTCTATAAAAATAGGTCCAGTTAAAAGTTGCTAAAGTTCTATGTACAAAAAGGCTTAGTGATGACAAAGTAAGATATATAGCTGTATTTTACCACATTGGGACTCAAGACTTAAAGAGAAATATCAAATCCCTATTGCAACTTTTAGCATTCAAATCTAAACTATTATAGTATCCTAATTATATTCATGTAGGCAACCATAAAGAGTGCAAATCCCTGCCAACTTTAATTCCTGCTTTTGCACTAGGCTATCCAAACCCTGGTCAGTGCTCTGCAGCTCACACAGGTCTAAGAATAGAGTCATCGCTAATTGTATTTTGCTGGGCTATAAAGGATGGGCGCTCCCCACCAAATACCCCACAGCAACCATAGCATTCTTACAAATAGCAGAAAAGTCACCTTCTTGGCAAATCTGCGCCTAGTGGAGCTTCTGAGTTTCTTCCAGGGAAGGCACTGTTCTGATGTCTACACTGAGCAGAACTCCCTCGGAACAAGCTGGAACTTTTAGGGTGCTCAGAACAGACACATCTGCGAGGGATGGTTTCCTTATTGGAAAACAACCTCAACATAAAGACACTCATGGGTTTCTAAGACTACATTTGGCCTGGATTCACTCTTCTTAAAAAAGCTTTTCATTTGGGAAATTATAAACATATACAAGTATAGAGAATAACATAATGAACCACTTTTACCCATCATCTAGCTTCAACAATTTCAACTCATGGGCAACTTGGTTTCATCTATATAATTCTACTTACTACCTTCCCCTACTCAATATTGGATTACTTAGAAGCAAAGCTCCAAATATCATATCATCCCATTTATAAATATTTCAGTACAACTCTTAAAAGGTAAGGACTTATAAAAGCACATAACGGTAATACCATTATGACTCTTAAAAATTTAACAAAAATTTCTTGTTGTCACTAAATATGTAATCAGTTACAAATTTCCCCAAATGTCTTAATTTTTTTTATAGTTAGCTTTAAAAATTAGGATCCAAACAGGGTCTACATATTAATGTATTTCCTAAGTTTCTTCTAATCTATATGAGTTTCTTAAGCCTTTACAGTTATCTGAAATAGGAATGAATTCCCAAAGAAGCATAAGAGGAAATATGAAATTTTAGTGGATATGAGAGAGAGAGAGAGAGAGAGAGAGAGAAGAGAGAATAGAGAATGAGAGAAATGACATGCTTCCATCAGTTGACCCAATGGATCTTGAGGCCAACTGTAATTTCATTATGTGAGCCAATAAATCCCATTTTTTTCTTAATTATTTTTTGTTGGGTTCTGTCACTTGCAACCAAAATGCAAATTCTTCACAGATTTGGAGTACAGAGGCAACTTTCTCATGGATCAACACACAGGACACCTTTTATAGACTCAGTGAATCAGGGAAAGAACTCATCTTTGTCTATGTTGGTGGTTGAATTCTACTTTTACCTCTCCTGTGGACTCAGTCATAATTTGAATGTAATGGTTCACCTCTCTTCTAACTTTCCTCACTAGGAAATAAATTAATGATAGTATAAAATAATTTCATTAATGTATTATCAAAAAACCCAGCATTTATAATCATGGCCAAAAATTTACCTTTCTTCCACAGGGCTTTATTTAAAGCAAGTACAAATTACAAATATAAATGCAATTTCTATGTGTCCACATAAAACACATTAAAGTGCTGGTGTAGGAGCGCTCAAGCATTTTACACATACCGATTTACAAATAACTGGTACCCTAAGTACAAAGCATTCCTTCCCACTCAATAAAGTGGGTTCCATTAGGACCTCTGCTAGGTTATAACTTTCAATCTCAACTGAGTTTCAGCATTGTTCAAAGACCATAAAACAAAGTTCCTTTAAAATAGTCTATGATTCACTCTTTTAATCAGTTCAGATGGGATATTCTCCATTGAGGGAAACTTTAATGAGTTGGTGTCTCACTGGAAGTATTCTCCTCATCCTTTAATTGTTTTCTCTCTTCTGGTGCCCACTCTGGGTCTCCTTATTACATACTGGCACCTCCATCATGTAACTGGGAGGAAGAAGAATGCAAGTGAAGGTCAAGTCAGCCAAACTTAATGTTTCTTGAACAAATTTGGTACAAAATTTTAAAGTTGTAGATGGAAATTAAAAAGTTATGAGATAAAATATGGTGCATCATCTTTGAATTTCAATTATGTGTGCCAATTTACCTGGTAGTCATGTAAATAAATAAACAAGCAAACATAAAATTTAGAATTAATGGTTTAGGATCTCCATCCTATAATTTAATTTACCTGTAGAACCTTGAACAAGTTATTTAACCTCTCTGATTCTTACTTTGCAACGTGAAAGATGGAGAAGATAACATTGTCGACATTATTCATATTTATTTTTAATCTGCCCCATTCAGAAAAGGATTTGAGTCCCCTGACAAGTCTACAAATAGATGAGAAAACCAAGGTAGTTGAAGAATAAGAAAAAAAAGAAAGTTGAAGTAAATTCAGACCACCAATAAATAAGCTGCTAGACTTAGTAGAGGTGAACTAAGTAAAGAATGTAGAAGAGTAGAATACAAGATATGCACAATCTCTAAGCATATAAATTTTCTCAGTGGAAGCACAATTATTCTTTGAGGGTTTGAGGGACAATTTCCCTCTGGATTCCTATTGAGGTGGGTGCTGGGTGAGATGTAGGTCAATGTCCTCTATCATATTTGCATAGAGGACACAATATCATATCTCATGACTGCTGTTTCCCTTATTGTCCTTTTTTTGCTGACCAGTGGTGAACTCATCGAAAGGCCAGTCAGCTAACACAATTCTCAGTGATGGGGGTGCCACAAGGTGCAAGAATCAGGCTCCTTCATGGTCTTGCTTGATCCAAAAATGAAATGGCAGACAGAGACGTAGATGGAAGACATATCTTTGATGCAAAATTGCCCCAAATCACATTCCTTGCAACTGAACTTTTAATAAAATATGGACAGCAGAGATATTATGGTAATCTGACCTGACAAGACCCAGAGTGCAGGTATTCTAACATGCAGAAGGGAAGACTGGGAGCCTAATATGAAGAATAAGGAGCTGAAACAGTCTTGAACAATGGTCACCCCTCATCCCATCTGAAGTGCCCTGGGGAGTGACCAAAGCCTAAATTATCAAATTGTTCTTGGCCTGGTCCAATATAGAGAGACGTGAACAAACAAGATCCTAACGTTCTATGCCTTGGGAGCATGGCTGTGACATTTCGGGTTTGAATGCTTTCAGAGATTTAAAAAGAAAAATCTGAACCAAGCACTAAGGAACATCAAGGTTTAAGTAATACATCTTGATGGATTAACTGCAAAACATACCCCCATGTAACTGAATGGTTTGACTGGCTGAGTGGGATTACTGCATGTGGATCCTCGAAATATATTTTTATCGATTTCAGAGAGTAAGGGAGAGGGAGAGAGATAGAAACATCAATGATGAGAAAGAACACCCCCCGCCCCCAATGGGGATTATGTCCAAAACCTGGGCATGTGCTCTGACTAGGAATCAAACCATGACCTCCTGGTTCATAGGTGGACACTCAACCACTGAGCCATGCTGATCAGGCTCGAAATGTTTTGAAGATTAAATGAGATAGTATCAGTGAAAAATATTTTGTACAGCGCTTATGAAAATCCTAGCTATTATTGGAATCTCATTTGTGTAATTGATCAATAATGGGTTCTGCTATTACACAGGCTTGCCTTAGTAAAACAAACAGCCCCAGCCAAGCTAGTGTGTATATATATTATTACACACACACACACACACACACACACACACACATACAGAATGGCCAGATTATTATGACCACCTGACATTTGTAGGCAAATTAGCTATCATTTTGCAATGAAGGGAGTGTTATGGTTTGGGGCATGTGTTCCTGGCATGGTTTGGGCCCTTTAATTCTTGTGGAACAACGTCTGAATAGCACAACATACCTAAATATCATTGCTGATCAGAGTCATTCTATCATGTTGATGGCGTATTCCCAATGGAAATGGCTTCTTCCAACAAGACATGCCACGGTGCTCGTATTGTGCAGGAGTGGTTTCAAGAACATGAGGGAGACTTTACCTTGCTTAGGTGGCCCTCACAATCACCAGATCTCAATCCAATTGAGCATTTGTGGGGCGAAGTTAAAAGAGCCGTCAGGCAGCTGGTTCCACAACCAGCAAATCTCACAGAACTGGACAGTGCTATTCATCAGGCCAAAGGGTGGCTGATGAAGTACTGATAGGGTGGTCATAATAATCTGGCCACTCAGTACTATATATATATATATATATAATTTTTAAACTGGAAAATAAGATTATATCTATATAAAAAGCCCTAGAAATCATATGATTAAACATCCTGACCTGCTACACAGTAAGAATGAACAATAATATTATCCCGGAGCCTCTCTGTGTCTTCACTGAAATTCTCCCGCATGGGGATGCTTTCACCCACCTCGTCCACCGATGGGTAAAGGGCAAAGAGCTCGGCCTGCCGGTTGGTCCTCCGGGCCTCCTCGTTCTGCTTCTCAAAGTCCTCAGCACTGACATGCTGCAGGAGGTTTTCCAGCCGCTGGTCAGGCTGCAGGCTGCGCAGGTTGAAGTCACAAGCAGTGAGCGGGCCTTTCCCAGACACATCACACAGCACCTTTAAGGGGCGGGGGCCTGACTGTGAGAAAAGACACATCCTTGTGAGAGAGACTGTGGATCTCAAATGAGAACTAAACAATCTGGGAGGTCTCAACACTGCTCCCACGTGTGATTATAGCATTAAGCCTCAAGGAGTTTCTGAGCCAACTGAGGGTTTGACAAGAATCACATCTTCGCTTCCTACCCTGAGCATCCTAAAATGAAATCTCTCCTCCCCACCTGGAAACAGGTAATTACTCATTAGGTAGGTAAACCTGAACTTGCGGAAAGGTTTGAAAACGGCACGGTGTTCCTATCGGTTTTTGGTGTGTTCTTTTCTGGAGATTGGAAGCCCACGCCTCTTATGAGCCATGCTCACGTCTCATGTTCAAGCAGAACAGACGGGAATAAGGTGTAACAGAAAGGAGACTGGCCTAGGGAACAGAGAGACCTCATCCTAATCTCAACTCCAGAACCTGGCTTTTGAAACTGGAAAATAAGATGACCTATGAGGAGCCTTCAACATTAAACCTTATCTAAACTCCAAAGCTGAATTATGTTTCTGGAGACAGAGCTGGTGTACTATGGTGTACTACTCCATAATATTAGTCTAACATTAGTGGGGATGGGAACAGATTTTAGTAACAGTTAAAGGAATAAGTACCAGAAAAAAAAGAAAAAGTGTTTGCTATTCAAGTAGTATCCACGTTTAGCTGCAGTGTGTTTGAAAAAACTCTTAAATCAATCATGAAGTGAATGCTTTATTCCATTAGAAATGTCTTGGAAATTTGGAATGCATATCTAACCAAAGACTTGGCGAGGACTATATAACCATAATCAATAATATGTTGTAAGAATATAGATGGATCTGTTATAAACATCTATAAAATTGATGGTAAAATGTTATCCTAAAGTTCTACTAAATGGATTACACCCTTTACAATTTCTCTATAAGGTACACTTTTTGTGACATCTATCTACCTCATAAAAAAATGCTACTTTGCCAGATCATAAATTTTACCTAAAATGAATGTGCTAGCAATAATCAATATTAACACTTTAATTATTAATATTTTTGTTTGTTTTAGAATTTATAAGAGCCTTGGGAAAATGAAGTGGATTTTCAATTTCTTCAAAAGGATATCAAGAGATATACATGTATATCTCCAGATTTTATCCTAAGAGTACGACTGGACAAGTAAGCAAAGATACAAAGATAAGAGCATATCTTAAACATTGTTTTTAATAACAAAATGACAGAAATAATCTAAATGCCCCCTAAAAGAGGAAGCATTAAGAAATTTTAGAACTTTTATATAATGAAATGTTGTGCAGCCAATAAAAAAGAAAGGACATATATTCATTATATTGTATTGTTAATATGAAAAGAAATTTATATAATATTATGAATAATATGACCCAATTTTATGAAATATCTGAGTACCATGAAGTCGTATCATATAGGTATTTAACTTACATAAATTCAGGCATCTGGCCTCACCGTTCTACTTAATAAGGTAAATAAGAATGATAATGAAAGGGAAGATGTTACTGGTCATTTCATGGTGTACTACTCCATAATATTAGTCTAATACTTAAAAACACAGTGTGTTAATAACTCGCCTCTGAAACCGAGCCAATGACTTCACTGAACGTTCTGTTAGCCTGCTGGAGGAATGAGTGTGCTTTATGGGGGTGCTGGTCATTCACCTATTATCTCTCAGGTCCAAATTCACCCTTTTATACAATCTGTGATGCTAGGTCTGCATTCAGTAAATCACATTTCTGCGTTACCTGCTGCTCCTTTTAAGTTATGCCAATAGGGGGCGCTACAAGGGACTGGGAGAAGAGACTGGCCCCTTCCTCTTTGCTTACAGTTCTTGCCATGGTAGTGGCAATTATTCTAGCCTTGGCTTCTTTTGGCGCTTCCAGAACCATCCTCATCTTACCTCCTTGGAGGTACCAGAACCATCTGAGCAATTCCTAGGAAATCTGAATCCAGACTTCTGGCCTCTATAAGGTCTTTCTTCTGAGATCCTGAGGTACCAGCACTGGCCAGACCACACCCCCTCCTCAGAGAGTTGAGTCCTAGCTCTGCGACCCCTCTTCTGAGCTCCTAGGTTCTGATCTCCAGGCTCTTCCCATTTGATCCATGGTTCCTGAGACCAGCAGCATCAGCATCTCCTGGGAAATGCTAATTAGGAATGAAAATTCTCAAACCCTGCTCCAGACTTAGTGAGTCAGAAACTCTGGAATGGGGCCCAGCAACCTGTAGTTGAACAGGCCCTTCAGGCCATTCTGAGGAAGCTAAAGCTTGGGAGGCACTGCCCTAGACCCCAGTCCCAGGGTGGTGTGCTGTGGTTTGCAGGAATGACTCCCACATAACTTCAATGTTGCCTTTTGGTCCTCTCAGTCATCCAAAATCTGTTAACCAACTCCCTACGTTAAATTTCTTCTGTGGAAATACCTAGTGTAGCTGCCGTCTGACTGATACAAGGAACAATTTACTTTGTCATCGTGTATGGTAAAAACTGAATTTAGTCAAAATTACCAATGAAAAAGTCCCTTCAATCTCCCATAGAATACAGCACACAGATATTCTAGGCCTCAGGAAGCCCACCACATTCAGCACTAGAATTGATGGCTGATTCCTCTGTAGAGCTCAGAGTAGGTAGCGGGCAGGACTGGAGAGACTGTGTTGTTAGAAAAATGGGCACTATTTAAAAACCCTCCAGTACTATTCAGCAGGGTGAGATGCTTAGGCTAGGACAGCACCTGAAAGCTAAAAATTATGCTGGTTTAAGAAGAAGTCTTATGCAAACTTGGACAAATCCCTTCCTATATGTTTTATTTTTTTTAATTATAAAATGAGCATGTTGGACTAGAGCACTGGTTCAAAATTTATTTTTAATTGTGGTAAAATATACATGACAAAATTTAGTGTTCAGCTCAGTGGTGCTAAGTGTAGTCACACTATTGTGCAACCAATCTCCAGAACTCTTTTCATCTTGCAAAACTGAAGCACTTTACCCATGAAACAGTAACTGCCCATTACCCCCTCTCCCAGCCCCTGGCAACTACCATTCTGCTTTTGTCTCTATGGATTTGACTACTCCAGGTACCTCGAATAAGTGAAAGTATAGTGTCGGTAGTTTTGTGACTGGCTTATTTCACTTAGCACGATGGCTTCAAGGTTTATACATGTTATGGTGTTTGTCAGAATTTCCCTCCTTTTTAAGACTGAATAATTCATTGTATGTGTATGCCACATTTGTTCATCCATTCATCTGACCATGGATATATGGCTGTTTCCACCTCTGGGCTAGTGTGAATACTGCTGTTATATAAACATAGATGTACAGAGCTGACTTTTAAACTGTAACTACTCTGTAATAATAATAATCGTAACAACAATAATAACAGTAGCCAATATTTATTGGGTACTAAGTGTCAGAAGAGACATGGTTCTAAATGCTTTACACATATTAACTCATTTAATACTCAAACAACTTCATGAGTTAGTTACTATGACCACTCTTGTTTTCCACGGAAGGAAGCGGAAGCCCAGAGGGTTTAGTTATCCTATCCGAGGTTGCAGAGTTAGATGTGGTAGAATCACAGGGGACCCGGGCAGTGTGCTTCAGTGTGGAGCTTTTAATCCAGTGGTTCTCAACCTTCTGTCCCTTTAAATACAGTTCCTCATGTTGTGACCCAACCATAAAATTATTTTCGTTGCTACTTCATAACTGTAATGTTGCTATTGTTATGAATCGTAATGTAAATATCTGATATGCAGGATGGTCTTAGGCGACCCCTGTGAAAGGGTCGTTCGACCGCCAAAGGGGTCCGACCCACCAGGTTGAGAACCGCTGGTCTAGAGTCCTAGCATTGTGTAGGCAATGTGGGAGAGTTGAAAATTAGGAAACCAAGTGCGTTGGGGATGTCAATGAAAGAAGCCAATTGGTGTATCAGAAAC